ACCACTTTCTTCCATAAATAAAAACTATCTTTCGTTGTTAGCCATTTAACTAATAAAACAAGAATTTGATATCATAGCCACGATTTTTAGCAAAATGTTGTCACGAATATCCACATTTTTTGTGATAAATATCGTCAAGTGGTATTATGTAACAAATTCCTAACTAATTGTTGTAACTTATTACGATTTGCGATGAATTTAAAATTGTCTCTAATTTGTGTCAAATAGCAACAAAATAATAGTATAAGATGACAGTATAATTAGAAACAACATTTATCGAATTTGAAAAAGAGTCAGAAAAAATGGTAATGATAAAAATGACAATTAGACCGGACTCTGAGCTTAAGTTAGGTTTGGCCTGATTTTCAAAAATAAATTTGGTTTCCAATTTTAAAGATATCTTTTTAGTTTAGTGGTGAAAAGGAAATAATCCCTTCTAAGAGGTCAGGATTCCAAAACTTCATAGTATATATTTAACTTGCAGTTTTCAAAAACTTAGGATCGACATTGATGAAAGTCATTCACAACACATATATTGTTTTACTGAATACACAAAAACGGCATAAATCTTAATAGTATGGTCACCGATCTTTCATCCTTAAAGTTGAGTTTTAAAAAAATCATAAATCAAAATTGACATATAAATGACAAAGTAATTTTGGTCATCGATCAAAACTAAAAAAAAAAAATTCAAATCAAGTTTGGGCCTTATGTTAGCGCCGACCCACCTACTTCATTTTTGTGTTTAGGTAATAGGTTTTACTTTTCTTTTTTTTGGGGGGTCAAATATAGGTTTTACTTGTCACGGTATATAATGGGTGTAGAGCTAGGTCTTAATTTAGGGTTTCTCTTGGTAATATAAAGTTTCGATCATGAATTTCGTCCCGACTGATCTTATTTTCGAGATTGCCTACAAAAGCAATCGCGAGGTGTCGTTGTCTGTCGAAACTATGGGCGTCCATGCTTCACCGGCCATATTTCACCGAGTTGTTCCTGACTAGGTCCTCGGCTCATCCACGTCTCTTATTGGCCATCGAACAATCCAATGTGTGGCACTTCTTCTCGTTGCTTCAGCCTCAGAATAAATGTGAGAAGTCGTCTTCTCTTGTCGTAGCCGCTGAATTTCATACCAAATTCCCTGGAGACGACAATATGTGGATATGTTGTAGTAGTAGCCGACAATTTTCATGTGGTTATGCCTCTGGTTTGATCTATTTCTCTGGCATGTGGATCCCCGAAAAGAGCAAGGATAACGTGCCTGTGATATGTAACCCTAACACGGGACAATATGTGACCTTACCTAAATTAGCAAGGTACAGAAAGTCATATAGCTTTTTAGGGTTTGATCCAGTTGACAAGGAATACAAGGTATTGTTCATGGCTTATCCATATTGTTCCGAAGGGGGTGATCATAGAATTCTGACATTAGGAACAGGAAAAATGAGGAGGAGGAAGATCCAATGTAGCTTAACCCATGAGCCTTTGAGTGAAGGAATATGCATCAATGGGGTTTTGTACTACTCAGCTAAAGAAATCAATAAAACATATGATATAGTTTGCTTTGATGTTAGGTCTGAGAAATTCACCTTTATCAGGTTTAGTGTTTCTGTTGATTGGTATTTTGAATTGATAAACTATAAGGGAAAATTAGGTGTGGTTAATTGGAAGAACGGAAAACACTAATGATGCCATTGAGTTGCGTATGTCGATTCTAGAGGATGTTGACAAACAGGAATGGTCAAAACATGACTACACTTTGCTGAATAATAAACTCGTTGATGGCGATGAAATTGATGTCGTTGGTGTAACTGCTATGACGGGTGAAATCGTTTTTTCGATGCAATATACATCTAACCCGTTTTATGTTTTCTTCTACAATCCCGAAAAGAATGCTCTACAAAGTGTTGAAATCCAAGGCCTTGGAGCTAACCATGAAACTTCTTTGGGTTGTATTGTTTACACCTTTATAGACCACGTAGAGGATCTTAATGTTAACGATGCAAAGGTACTCAAGTCAAGCATCTTTGCTCCATATGTGAAGAACAAACGCAGCCAGAAGAAGAAGAAGACACCGCCAAGAGATGAGAGAGGCGCTTAGAAGGGATAAGTGAAAGCAATGTACATGCTCTCTCACTACAAAAACAAGCATTCTTAACATCACTTATTCAGACATTATGATCTACATGAACAGTCTTTTTTTTTTTGCTATAGATTTTTCTAAAGTTTTCTAAATACATGCTCCCTCCGTTCTTCTGATAACCACCGTCACCGCGATTTTGTTTTATTCGATGTTGTCTAACTCGTTATTACATCCTGATTCTGTGTCTCATGATGTTTCCAGAAACAACCATTTCTTAACTACAAATGAGCTTTTTCATTGTTGTTGCGTAATCTCAAATATGTTCGAAAGGTTATCAGATTCATTGCTCTGTTTTTCGTAGGATCATCGTAAATTCAGACAGAGATACTATGAATTTATGGATAATTTCAAAGCTCCTGATGGTCCTGTCTTTATGATAATATGTGGTGAGGGTCCATGCAGTGGCATAGCTAATGATTATCTAAGTGTAAGATTTTATCAACATGAATTCTTGTAGAAAATTTTTAAAGAGATTTTGATGTTTTTTCGTTAAAATGTATTTAGGTACGAGCAAAGAAGTTTGAAGCTTGTGTGGTTTCATTAGAAGTTATATCATATAACTCCCCTTGACGCTTAAACATTGAGAGACTTGATTCACAACTTGATCACATGGCAT